AATATTGCACAAAGCCTAAAGTAGGCACTCTTGGGATTGGAATTACAAGTGGCCTCACTGCATAATCTGACACTTTTTATAAAGCATGAAAATATGAACCAGCTGAGGCCCCAAACCCCACCAGGCAGTCTTTTATGTTCAATGTTCCATCTGTATGTCCATGTTTTCTTTCTTTATGTTTTTTTATCTTCTGAAAGATTGATTAGATCATATTTAGATATACAGGAAAGCTGGTGAACTTGGACTTGGGAGCCCGAATAACATGTAAGCATAGGCCTGTGCTGCACAAGCAAAAACTGGAAAACCAAACAGTTGAGCATCTTTCACTTCACAGTTAAACCCATTTGCTTCCCCATCCGCCCCCATCCCAGACTGCAAAACCCAAGGCATCCTCCCTAAACAGGATGTTTACTTCCTAGAATGTCATCGAATTCCTGCTGTTTCCCACCTGAAATCACAAGAAAGCCGACTCACAGCAAAGGAAAACAACTGGCATCTGGCTGTTCCTCACCACCCCCCAGACACTGCTGTAGCTTGGCTCGAATGACCAGGGGGCAGGTGTGATGTCACAGTTAATAACAAGCAAATCACAGAAACTGTGGATTTTTCATTCTTATTTTATCAGAACTGGTTCCAGAATCTCTCCAAACAGAGAAATAAGGGCAAAGGTTCCTCTCAAAAACATAAGGTAGTATTTGGACCATGTCTCTGTTTCTGACACTCATTGTCATCTATTTATTTATTTTCCATTCATTTTTCACTGTCATTGTTAAAAAGATGAAGTGAAAACTAAATGAACTGTATCGCAGACATCATTAAACTAACTTGAAAGGGGCTCAGAAACTGAGTGAGGTCTAGTGACTAGGCCATGTGTTGGTAAGTGACAGAAGGATCAAGAGGAACCAGGTTGAGTTCTCCCAGCTCCTCACCCAGGATTCTTCATCTTTCATGGCTCCTGGACCTCCTCATTATAAGAAGGGATGTGAATAAATCAACTTCCAAATAAGCAGGCTTGTATTTTCATATCTGACTTAAATAATCATAAATGAAGATAGTTTTTACTTGAAGATTGCAGCCTCATTACCATACAGTAGAGTTTCCCACCTCCCCACTGCTGACACTGAGGGTCAGACTGCCCTGGGGTAGGAGACGCGGGACTGTCCCTTGCACTGTAGAAAGCTTGACAACCATCCTGGCCTCGTAGCATCAACCCCCACCAAGTGACACAACGAAATGTCTCCAGATATTGCCAAATGTCCTCTGGGGGGGCAAAAAGCTCCCCATAAAGCATCAACTGGCACACACTCCTCTCTCCTCCATAAACTGTCAGCCTCAGGAAGCCTTCTATCCTGATCCAAGCCAGAAGCCGGAGGTCAGGGATGATCTCTAGCTTTCAACATGTTCCATGCAGCTGGGAGAAGGTGCTTTATGAATTTCCTCTCAGAAAGTCACAGCAGTGACCCTGTCTAGTCCAGAAATGATCAGGCCAAGGCTAATTAGAAAAAGAACAGAAAATAATGGTGAAGTGAGATGAAAACTAATAAAAGTGGGGGAAAAAACAGAAAAGACAGAAAAAAAAGGGAAATGGAAGGAAGAAAGGTCAGCAGAAAGAAAGGATTTTAACATTCCAGGATTTGTAGGACAGAGCAACCCATTATAAGATAAAGTGGCATATTTTCATCAAGCATAATTTTTTTAAAAGGCAACTCAGTCTGAGGAAAAGGGTCAAGAACTTTCTACCAATTCATTGTGAGACTTTGGGAAAGGACAATTGTCCCTAACGATGGACCCCTCAGGGGAGTTCTATGTGAAGTTCTTTGTGAAGGTCTCATATGCTTAAAACTGGAAAGCCTTTTGAAACAGCTTATCCTGGAGTCTCACCCACATTACTGTTCCTGGTGGACAATGAATCTGAATGAAGTTTTGAAGGGGCCTTTAAAATAATGGGCATCTTGTGTACACATCCATTTTCTTTAACTGCTACTTCCCAAAAACCTACTTAATCACAAAACACCCCCTGAGAAAGAGAGAGCACTGGGTATTTTTCACCACTACACTCCTCCAGCTGTATATCTGACTCAGCTCCAAAATATGTGGATAACAACACACTCATTTCTGCATGTGATCACAGATGTAGATTACATTTGACAAGACAGTCACTCCATTACTACAGCACTGCTGCTTTTCATATGCTTTAAAACGTTCTACATTAAAAGGTTCTTTTTGAAAATACATTTAAGTAGCCATGGTTAAAAAATTAAATGTAAAACCTTCTATTTCTATGTTTTTCAGTTGCAAAGTGCATAGGAATTACTGAGAGAATCTTCTGAAAATGCAGATTCCAACCCAGGACATCTAAGTTGGGGCTTGATATTCCATATTTCTAACAAGCTCCCAGGTGATGCTGGTCCCGGGACCTCACTTTGAATAGGAAGGTTCTAAGTCTAATCCATCCCCCAAACCACCTACCTCACTATATTGTTTTGCTCCAGTAAAAGATTTTGGGGTTGACACCCACTGCTTACCAGGGAAATTCTAAATTCTCTTGACAGCCATGATCCAGCTTCAGCTCTGTAAACTCCCCTCCCCAACATGGACACTGAGGCAGTGCTTGGTTCTGTGCTGTTCCTCAAAATGCCACATACATTGCATTTCCCTGATTTGGTCTCACTGCTCCCTCTGCCTGGGTGGCTCTATTGCCAAAATCTTTGCCCTCCTTCAACATCTACCTCAAATGTCACCTTCTCTACAAAGCCTTCACCAAGTCGTCTAAGAATAAAGTATTTGTGGGCCTCCCCAGTGGCGCAGTGGTTGAGCGCTGGGTTGCGAAGCTGCCTGTAGCCTCTGCAGCGCCAGTTGGATCCCCGGCTGCTCCCCGGCCACCGGAGGAGGGTCCCACATGGCGCGCAGACCTCTCCTGCTGCCTGCTGCTCCCCTCAGCAGTGTACTTCGGTCCTTCTGCCTGCTCTGCTCCCTGCTCTGGCTCTGGTGAATTCTCTCACCCTCCTGCGCTTCTGACTGTACCCAGTGCTTGTATAAATAAATAAAAATAAAAACAAATCTTTAAAAAAAAAAAAAAGAATAAAGTATTTGTTCACTCACCACACTTGCACTTGGCATTCAAATATCTATGCTGGTGTGTTTTATTTTCTGGAAAGTTATGGCCCATCCAGTAAAATTATTCCAAAACTACCTGAACTCTTAAAAAACATGCTCAGTTTTCTAATAACTTAGGGCTACCCTTCCCCCAGACTTTTGGCCCCCAGATAAGTATTTATTTTTGGGTGGTTTCAGATACCGTGGCATCTCTCCCATATACTCAGGGATACTTCCCCTAGAGGCCCTTATGGCTGCATTGTGGTTTTTCTTCATCGTCTCCTAGCTGACTCTCATCAGCATACACTGCCTCCCATTTAAAAAAAAAACATTACTTGAGAATCTTGTTAAAATGCAGATTCTAAGCCATGAGGCTTGGTTTGGGACATGAAAAACGAAACACCCTCCATTGACCTTCAGATCATCGTTCTTCCTATTTCTCTATTGGTCCTTATAACAAAACTCCTCTGAAGAGCTGGTCCCCACTTCCTCTCCTAACCCACACCTCCATCCACCAAGATGGTGCCTCTCAAAGTTTCCACAGACTGAGGTGCTACTCTCAGACTCCTCTTATTTCATATACGGTGGCATCCAATAGAGCTGGTCACTGGCCCCTGAAAACCTTTCTTCTACTGTCTTCTGGAGCTCAACAACTTCCTTCTCCCTCCCCTCTCCCTGTTCTGTTCTCATCTCCACTACTGGATACTAAACACTGAAGGAAGCCAAGGCTCAGTCTCTGGACCTGTCTCCTCTCTAACTGCCCTTCCTCCTCAGGAGGTCACATAAGTCCCACAGCTTTAAGTATCAAGTTATAAACCAAGGATGCCTAAATGTCTATGTCCTTGGAATCTAGACTCATCCATGACCTCAATGTTAACATGCCTAATGGTAAGTTATAGACAAAGCTCCTCGTACAAACCTGCTCTTCCTCACCACTATTTCTTGTTTCATAAAGCCGAGGTCCTTCCTATCAGTTGCTCAAACCATAACCCTCAGGGGGCAACCCAGCCTCTTCTTTCTCCTCCATGTCCTGTCAGACCTCTGGGGAAGCTGGGTCCCTCAACAGTCCCCACTGTTGGAGTTCAGGTCCACATTACCATCACCCCTTGCCTGGATCCTTGCCGGGGTCCTGACCAGGCTCCTTACTGCCACCCTTACCCTATCCCCACTGCCATGGTCTGTTTGCTGCATAGAACCAGAGCAAGCATTTTGAAATATAAATCAGGCAGAAACATCGTTCTCTTCAAAATTTCCTAAACATTTCCTTTTTCCCTCAGAATAAAATCCAATGTTCTTTCCAAGGCCTTCATGTGCCTGTGAGACCCAGGCTACACCCAGTAACAGCTCTCGTCCTCTGGCGCTTGCCACCTCACTCCTGCTCAGCCTCATTGGCCTCCCAACTGCTCCTCGGGCACAGAAGAACAGAGCCTCTTCCACACTCTGTGCCTGGATGCTCAGGGCCTGGCTGGTCCCACAGCCAGGTCTCTGCCCAGGGTCGCCACTCCTGGTGCCTGGGTAAATCAGACTCTCATGAGGATCTCCTCAGGCTGAATCTCCTCAGGATCCAGCCCCCGCTCCTCCTTAGTCGTCCTTTTTCTGTGTGGATTCTGCCTCTCACCCTGCTAAAGAATCAACATTGAAAGAACTGGGGCTTGTTTTTTGGGTTCATGATCCTATCCCTGAACAACAATCAGGTGCTTGGTACATTGTTACTGGATGGATAAATAAACATTGTTAGATAATCAAAAGGTAATTCTAGTTATACTTGGTGGGAAAAAAAAAAAAAAAAAAACAAAACAAAAAAAAACTATGGCAACACCCACAGGAATCACCTAACTAGTGAGCTGGGTTTTTTTCAAACTCCAAGTCTTGGCTGAGAGCTGGGATGGAGAAAAGCCACTTACTTTCTGATCACTGTCTTGGACTCTGAAGAACTCTGGCTTCCATCCTCTTCACAGTTTGGGCTTGTCAGGTTTCCATACCTGTACAGATTAAAAACAAACAGACAAAAGCAGTCAGTGGTGGTGGAAAGCTACTCCACTCACTATCAACCCCCAAATAACAGTCAAGCTTTTTAGGAGTAATTCAGGAAAGAAATGTTTATGAAAGAGCATCAAAAAATCAAAAAATGAGGCCATATTATTGATATTTATTCAATGGGTATATCTGTATTTCTAAAGCAAAATGATTGAAAAGTGGATCACACAATTTTAAAATTTCTCTTTCATAGTTAACTTTTTTTTTTTAAGATATATTTATTTATTTATACAAGCACTGGGTACAGTCAGAAGTGCGGGAGGGTGAGAGGACTCACCAGAGCCAGGGTGGGGAGCAGAGCAGGCAGAAGGACCCAAGTACACTGCTGAGGGGAGCAGTGGGTGGCAGGAGAGGTCTGCGCGCCATGTGGGGCCCTCGCCTTTGGCCGAGGATCGAACTGGCGCTACAGAAACTGCGGGCAGCTTCGCAGCCCAGCGCTCAACCACTGCACCACCAGGGGAGGCCCAATAGTTAACATTTTTTTCAGGTTTTTGAAATGAAATGAGATCTCCCCTTAGCAGGAGAATTAGCTATTCCTGGTTTCTCACAAGCTACACAGCCCCATTCTGCCACCAGCACACAAGGACCGCGCCGTGCTGCATGCGGGAGTCTGGTCTCCTTGCAGTACGTCCTATGGGAGAAGGATTATGGAAATAATTCTGGTCCTTCAAATAATGGCTGAGATGAGCCAAGCACCGCAGAATGGAATTCTTATGCGTTGGCCACCAGGAAGGCGGTTATGGGTACACTGAGCCCAGGCTGATCTATACAAAGTGACTGGGGAAGAGGTGCAGTTTTTTGGGAAAACAATGGGTACTTTCATTCTGTCTCCTTACAAACTCAAAATTTACTAAGCAGGTGATCAGTCCCTAATCACACTGTACACTTTCCTTCCCCATGAAAGCAAGCCTGTTTTGTGCAAAGTTAGCATGTTTCCTTCAGTTCAGATTGTACATTTAGTAAAATCACTTTAGATTCTTGAGGTTTCTTTATATCGACTTATAAGGCCTAGATGGTTCCTGCAGTTTCTCTTCTATCAATAAAGAACCAGAGCACACTTTTATTTTCTGCTAATGGGATTAAAGACCCCAGTACCCTTATGGTCCCTTGTTCCCAGGACTTACAGATCCTTTTAAAAATAAAACCCCATCTGACCTGACCCAGTCCATCTGGGCTCCCTGTCACCCTATCCTGGCAGGTTCCAGTTTGCACCCTTAGGCATCAACCCCCAGGCCCTTCACCTGCCCCTATCTCTAGCTCATCAGCCTTATGGGCTTCTAGACTCCCAAAAGTTATTTTCCACTGACCTCTGCCCTCCCTGTTCCTCCTCATTCTGTTCCGCACCTGCTATTTAGAGGACTTCCAGGGCTACCCTTTGCTTTCCCTCAGATAAGAATTGTTAGATTAAGCTTTACTCAGTCCCACGTGAGCAAGGCAGGCATAGGAAATGAGACTCCCAGTAAATAAACAGAGTGGGATTTCTTGGCTCTCTCCCTGGCCACCATCGTAGTGAATGAACCATGCCCTCATTTCTCTCAGAGCAGGCTCTGTGGGTTATTTCAGTAGGAAATTTGAGAGTGGAAGCAGGGAAGGGGGGGCTCTCAGACAACCACTAGATCTTCACTCATCTGGCCCAAGTGCTCCAGAAACCCTCCCACTCAGTGCTCAATGACTTCTTCTTTGTTTTTGTCCCATTGTGGTTAGTTCATAATTGTCTCTTTGGTGATTCTGGAAAGACTGCATCTTTTACCAACTGGAAGCAATGAGAGAAAGAATCAAAAAGGAAAGACCCTCTCCCAGGAAAGATACACAATTTACTGCTTTAGATGTTTCTCTCTTCAGAGAAATCCATGCCAAAAGTTTCCTGATCCTCCTATTCCCTACTCCCCTCCTTGCTCCAGCTTCTTGGTCCTCCTGCTCATCCTCTACATTTTTTCAGACTCTTTTTTTTTTTTAAAAAAAGATTTATTTATTTATTTATTTATACAAGCACTGGGTACAGTCAGAAGCGCAGGAGGGTGAGAGAATTCACCAGAGCCAGAGCGGGGAGCAGAGCAGGCAGAAGGACCGAAGTACACTGCTGAGGGGAGCAGCGGGTGGCCGGAGAGGTCTGCGTGCCATGTGGGACCCTCCGCCGGTGGCCGGGGAGCAGCTGGGGATTGAACCGGCGCTGCAGAGGCTGCGGGCAGCTTCGCAGCCCAGCGCTCAACCACTGCGCCACCTGGGAGGCCCTTTTTCAGACTCTTTGCTGAGCTCTGCTGGGATCGCACCAACACCCACTACGGCTCCTCCCTGAAATGGGACACATCAGGAGACGTCAGGGGATGTGTCTAGGGACAGGTGATTCACCTTGGTGAGAAAGTTCTCTCTCCTTAACTAAACTAGTGCCAACTGCTCAGAATGTGAGCCATGAAGCCCACAGAGATATGTCGCCCGGCTTCTGGTGAGTTTACAGGCTCACCGTCAGGACCATAGGGACTGAGAACAATGGGTGAGAACCATCAAAAATAAGGCCAGTGTATGGAAATCTGTGTGGAGATTCCTCAAACTACTAAAAATGGAGCTTCCATATGATTCAAAAATTCCACTCCTAAGTATCTACCCAAAGGACACAAAAACATTAATTCAAAAGGACCTACACCCCTATGTTTATTGCAGCACTATTTACAAATGGTAAGACTTGGAAACAACCCAAATGGCCAAAAAAAGATGACTAGATCAAGAAGATGTGGTACATATACACAATGGAATATTACTCAGCAATCAAAAAAAGGAGAAACCCATGCCATTCGCAGCAACATGGATGGAGCTGGAAGGGATCATGCTCAGTGAATTAAGCCAGAAAGAAAAAGAAAAATATCAGATGATTTCACTTATAGGAGGAATATAGAGAAACCAAATAAGGGATCAGGAAAAAAGTAACTATAATAAAGTAAAAATCGAAATCAACAGGCAACTACAGATCAGAGACATTGTGTAGGAGAGGAAGAGGGACAAGGATTAGGAGGGGGTGGGAAGAGCACAAGGGACTATGGTGATATTGCATGGGTGAAATGGTAGTGGGAATTTCATGATAAAATCATACATTGTACAAAGTTTAAGAATGATGTAATAAATACATACCAAATGAATAAATAAATAAATAAATAAACAAAATAAGGCCAGTGTGACTGAGCATGTGTCTCGGCTCTCACAAGCTTGTGGTCAGACCAAACTCTGCTCCATCCAACTCACCAGGAACACCTTTGGGCTCAGCCTTTGTAACATAAGTAAATCCAAACTTGCCTCATCACTTCCACCCTGGCCCAGACTAGCAATGTCTCTGGCCTAGGTGGATGCAACACCTGTCTGACTAGCCTCCTGGCTTTGCCCAGCATCCTGTTCCATGGGAATTGGATCCCGTCACTGCTCTGGGAAAAGGCCAAAGTCTTACCTGTGTCACAGGCCCTGGGTGACCTGGCCCCTGACCGCTCTGATCCTGACCCCGACTCCCACCTCCACTCACTCCCTGGCTCTGTGCTGCTCCACTCAGGCCAAGCAGGTTTCCTCCTGCTCCCTCCTCTCATGCCTCAGCTGATGACCCACTCCCTCAGTGACTTCGGGTCAAATGGCATCTCATCAGTGAGGCCTTCCTTGACCGCTGACAACACACAAACCAATTCTAATGCCACAGCTTTATTTTCTTTCCAAGAGTTTAATCACCGTGTAATTGATTTTGCTGTTGCCCATTAAAACATTAACTCCACAAGAACAGGTTTTTAGTCCCTTTTGCTCAGTATTTAGACCTGCACCCAACAAACATGATGATGGCTCTTTGTTGGGAATAAATGTGTACTGGGCTTCCCTCAGCAGACATGAAGCAGACTTCGCAAATATGAAGTTCAGCTCTGTCCCTTCAGAGGCACCATGGGGCCTCTTGCTTATGCAAGTATCTTGACTTGCTTGTGGCTTCATTTCTAAAGGCCTCGGAGTAGAAGAAAGCTTTAGGATAGCTGTGATCATTCCAAAAATCTAAAACTAAAATGCAAAAGAAATAAAGTTTTACCATCTTAAAAAAACTGAGATTTTGAAGGCATAAGCAGGATGAAAGTGCAAATAAAAAATGGATACATTGTGCAAAAATGAAAAATGATGTAAAAAATATATTAAATTTAATTTAAAAAATTAAAAAATGTATATACAATTTTACAAAGGTGACTGATGGAAATGAGATAAAAGCAAAAAGCCTGTAACCCTCTGGAACTTACTGGATGAGGAAGGCATAGTTGTTTGCCCCTGTACTTTTCTTATCATTAAGGAGAATTAATGTTTCATAGAAAAATATACTAGATGAGCATTGAATCAACAACACTTTAATGTACAAGCTGGGTTATTTGAGAGCCAGTTTTATAAGATCAAGAGTGCTTCTTTGAGGTTTCCTGAATCTTCTCATAGCTTCCCATCAAACACCAAAGTCAAGTCCAACTCATTTACTCCAGAGGAGTAGATACAGGGTGTGTATGCGTTTGTGTTTAATTAATGGTGGTAGAACAGCTACAGGCAAGCCTGTCAACAGTGTCACCTCCAATCTCTGCAAAGGATTTAAAATCAAAGCTCCAACCTCGTAAGAAGACTTACCCAGGAGCAACTGCCCTTCTTTAAAAGGTTACTCACAAAACTGAAATTAAAATATAAACTGTCAGAGTGACTTTTGACATGGTTTTCTCTATATCGCAAAGCAAAAGATACTTACAAATGTGTCCTAAGGTACAGCTTTAATCAACTATTTACCGCAGCCTAAAAATTGCTAGAAAAAGGAAAAAAAAAAAAAACTGATACAATGTTTAACTGGTTGCTGATGTTTAAAAACACAGTCACATTCCAGAGAGGATGAATGTATTACTTAGAGCCTATTGAGGCAGATAAGATGTTTAATATGTACTTCAAAGGGCCACCAGGTATCTGT